AGTTTCAAATATTTAACATTTCAATGATTTAACGGATTGCTGGTCCAAATGCTCTTACACTTCCTTTTTTGTGTTTTGGACCGGTAAAGGCGACTATTGGAGTGTTCGATACCCCCGCGTAGATATGTTCTGTGTAACACAGAATATGCCTGTACCAAATATTATATTTCAGCTTCTGAGTCAGTCTTCTGACCCCATCTCAATCAGATTTTTGATCCAGTTTCCCAGACCCTGTGAGCGAATTCTTATATGGCCTGAAGTTTTTCTTCTTCGCGTAAACGTAATTTCACCATCTGCGTGCGTTTTCTTACAGTATTGGGTAATGTAGTTATTCAAATAATCGTTCTCGATGTTCTCGCGACAGTAAGTCGATTCAGCCGGGAAATATCTAATAAGAGATAATAGAAAACATCTTACCAATTCTTGCCAAAACTGCTCGTTCTTACCCCAATTAATAATTCAATTGACTGTATATGAATAAGGGTGGGTATACCAGAGCTCATAAAAACGAGCACAGATTGGAGCTCTTACCATAGTCCGTTACAAATAGTTTTCAATTCTTTTTTGACTGTAAATAAATAAATAAATAAATGAGAATTATATCAATCTTTTTCAAATTACTTACGATAGCAAATAATGTAAAATTAATTACAGTGACGTGTGTGCAGAGCCAAATTTGAAGTTGTCGAGCGCGCAAGAGACTGTGTGCTCTATATATTGAAGTCACGGAGCACAGAGGCACTATCCTCCCCATCGGACGACAAGCTACGAGAGCGAGTCTGGGACAGTGTCGGCCATCGGTATATAATGGGCGGCCTGGCACCCGGAAAGAGAATAGTTTGTGACTGAGTTGTGAGTGCTTAGAGATCGTCCCAGTGGCTGCCACGCTGAGCAAACTGAGTGATGCGTTATTCACGCCGGATAATTGTTGTAATTGTTGATCGCGCTTCAAGCAAGTACATCTTCTGCTGATACGGAATACAGTTTCTTGGACTACAGAATACAGCTATACGTAATACAGAACTTGGTACTTTCTTACTCTCAGATGGAACACCTGGTATATTTACTCTATGATTGGAAAGTAACTTTTTGATTGTAATGCGTGTGAAGCACAATAAACTGTGTAAATAATAAAGGCAAACAGCAACATAACATTAATTTGCTATTTAATTATTGTATAATCTTAATTTTGCAAGCAAAGAAATGTTGTGAAGTGATAAGGGTTCCTACCAGTCTTTCACATTCAAAATATTTGCAGTAACTGATTTCAACACGTTCTTCAGATAGTACTTTAAAATGTATGTACAATTTTTACATGTGAAAAAAACGTTCCATTATAGAAAGTTGAAAAGTATATAACATCTATTTAAACAATGGTAGCAAACAAGGAAGCAATTTGACTCCAATATTCACGTAAGCCAAGGTTGCTTCTGCAAATCATTAAGTTTTCAAGCAGATGTGAGTAGGGAAAATATGAATATTTTCAATGTACTGAACAATGATAATATATTTCCCTTTCATCATTTTGTTTCATCGTTTGGCTATCATCAAGAGAACAACTATATGGAATCTGAAATAATCCTCGAATTTACAAGTTTCAGTAAACATTATCTTTCGTCACTTGTATGAGACGTCTTCTAGTTTCCATAAAATGTCAGTTGGTAACTCATGGTATTTTCTCCACGGATCACACACTGTGTCCTCACCACTCATTGGATGTGAATTGAATTGAAGCCTTATTTTACGTGACCATGAGACCATGAGGCCTGCTTTTCCGTCTGACCACATAAACTTTCACCAACTAGCAGAGAAAGAAGGTAAAGCAGAGAAACAGCCGATTCAAATTTAGTTCAGAGGCGTCATTTAGGATTGAGGATGTTTTACATGCAAGTAAATCTACTAACATGGGACAGCCGGCTTTACTTCCCCTCCAAAGGAAGGCGTACGTACGATTTTTTCGCCCTTAAAAGTCCACGGCTTCGATCGTGTTTGAACACGCCAACTTGGGTATAACAGTTCGATATGGTAACCGTTACACCATCGCCGCGCGCAAGTCGATGTGCGCACGAGGCCAACGCCCGAAAGCCGAGTACTCGTTCGGCACGACGGTGTGATAACTGGCAGGATATTCTGGCCCCGCCGCAGGCCTGTACAACTTTTACCTCCTCCCGCGTAAGGACGTGCGGCGAAGGGACCAGCTTGCTCGCGTGGCGTCTGCCTCGACGCCTTCCTCCTTGGCTCCGTTCAAAGTCCCCCAGCCTCACACACCGCCGTCCTTTCCCTTCATATTCCACCAGCCAAATGAACCCTTCTCCACGCACGCACTCGCCACCCCAACAGGCTGGCTCAGGAGTCAGTAGCAGGCGTGAGTTCAGAACTCACTAGATTGTTGTCCACCTCTACACGACAATGGCGTGGGCATCTCAATTTCATAGTGCCTGCCTCACATGAGCGTCACGATGTGATTGGCCGTAGTAGTGGCATAATAATAATAATAGCAATAATAATATTTATAACAACACTAATGCTAATATACGATATTTAATTATGACTATAGTATCGAGTTGGAGAATTTTCGTTATAAAACCTGTTCTTGAAAAATATCTCTTTATATGATCCATTTTTTTAAATATTAGTAGTTTTCGCAAAATTTTGCAATCTAAAAACAATTGTTGCAATAAATATAGAATATTTATTATAAAGGACATCTAATTTCTGCTGTACATTTTTTTCAGATGGTATAAATTATTGTTATAAAAATGGTGGAGGTACAATTTTGGTTCAACTTTCTGAATTTTAGAATTGTAAAATTACAAGTGATGCAAGAAAGAATGTGCTGTTAAGTAGTTTATTAATTTCTTTATATTTGAAAACCTTGTTCTGATTAATATGGTTTTGTAACACCTAGTTATGGTTTCTTCTGTAACTTTCTGCTGTACATGTAGTTCGGAAATAACTGGGAATTACTTTCGATGGGTTCATTGTTTGGATTGTGATTTTATAGCGACACTGGACGTTATTCCTGAATTTTTTCTGAAAATATTTTTTATAAATCCTAAGAAGATGAAATTGTGGAGAATAGTTGTGCAACGAATCAGCTCTAACCATCAGTATTATGTGAAGTGTATTTGTTACAAATTAAAGACATCACTTGTGCTCTTCTCAAGACAAGCAATTTTACTTTATCCACATTCTTCGTACACAGTTTTAACTATTTTTAGGCGTAAAATAAATTGCAATAAAGATACTCCATTTGGAAAAAAAAATGAACAGTAACTCCATTTTTGTTGGTCTTTTATTCGATAAACATAATTTACATACAACGACCATTAACTCAAAACAGTTCTTTTGGAAAGTTGTTGGAAAGTTAATTATATGTAATCTGTGAATTTTGTTGTATTTATTGTCATTAAATATTAAATTCAATGCCATAACACAATAATATTAAGCAAAAATCGGAGCAGGTATAAACAGGAAACTTAGTTGGGTTAGATTTGAGTTCTCAATTGATTGCATGTTCATCTTTCGACAAACCTGCCATCAAATAAAAATTGACATGAAGTAAAAATTGCCAGACCATTCCTTTTTTCCATAAACGCAACTCATATGCATACATCTAGTCCGTTTCGTAAGTATTTTTCGTTTTCAATTTCCTTCGTTCGAAGAAAAACATTACTATACTTTGTTCTTGTTTCATGCTCTCGACAACATTTTATGTGTCGTTCGATATGTTCAATCACAAAACTAATGAGTCCGAGTAATACACCAAAAATCAGAATATAAAAGCAGCCTACTAGTTGTTCTCGTGTTAATGTTTGGGGATACCGCACTACGTCTCCCTCAGGTATAAGCAAACCATGCGCAGTCATTTTGTGTCGTTGGGCGGACAACCAATAGTCGTACAAGCCAGCTCCCAAAGCACGCAACACAAACTGGTTAAATGCTTCATAATGTGGAGCGTTTTTCTCAATTAAGAAACCACCATGACCAGGAGAAATAACACACTCCGGTACAAAATGGAGCAAACGTTCACCTTCAGACGTAAGTTCAATCATCCGAGAAAACGTATCGTACAAAAGCGACGCTGTTAAATAGGCACCGTTACCTTCTTCCGCTATGTTTTTCAATCTCGGTTCCATGGAATCTCGCCCGTCTTTCTCCATAATAAATTTACGTGCTAAGTTTTTCATTGCTGGCGTAGCTTCAGAACTTTCCAGAATTGTACGGAAATTGGCATAAGCGTAGACATTCTCTACGAGACTTTCGGCTTCTTCCATGGTTTCCGGATCGGGATAGCGAGGGTGGGTTGCCAGAAACCCAAGTAGCTGGCCAGTGTACGCGTTGCACAACAAGAGCGAAAATAACAGAAGAGAGGCCAGAAGTAATCTCTGAGACGATGTGAATGTGCACCGGCTGCAGCCACTTGCAATTATAGTTTGGAAAATATCTAGTAGTGCTCGACCAAAACCACAAAATTCACTGAAAATGGAAGTCTCTTCGCGGTTGAATTTAGAGAAACGAAATGTTACAGACCAAAAAATACTAACAATGAGCAATGAAAGAATTAGAGCTATCCAAGTAGTCTTTCTGTAAGGCAGTAGTAATACCACACTAAAAGAAATAAATGGAGCTCTTTTCATCACTAAGCACAATGGAAATGCTGATAAAGCTGCTGAGTAGTCTACTGCCTTATACCGTTCAGAGGTAAGGTAGTAATTGTTAAATGAAACACCAGCTGTACCATTTGCAACGCAAATATATTCACTAGTTTGATTTATCTTTTCCAATCCATTCAACTTGTCAAATAACTCCATCATCATAAAGTCGGGTCCGTCTAAGACATGACTGCCGTCTTGACGAAGCCACTTGAAAGTCAACTGCTTCATGTTGGAGCAGTGTGTCAGGGATTTTGTACGACGTTTATCCTCAACAACTGTCTGGAAGATCAATAAATTCAAAGTTCCAAAGAAAACATACCACATTTTTTCAATATACTGTACCTTTGATCCTTTTTGTCTGCTGTCCCAATTTATATCGGCAAACTGTTCAGGTACATATTCTATTATCTGAGAAATAGTTGAACATTTTTGAACGTTTGTAACACGTAGTTTAATATCCTTTCTGTTTGCCCATTCTTTTAAAACATCTTTAGGTGCGCTTGATATGCATTCAGTCTTACTGGAGCCTGTATGGTTCATCTCCCGTACTACCCATATAAGAGTCGAGTGTTTTTTTAGAGAAGCTTTGATGTTTTTTTCTAAGTCGGTGAGTTCATCCATATTTTCGAGAATGGTGATATGAAATATAGATCCACCAATATGAATAGGGTGATGTCCAGTTACATCGTAATCTCGGGTGATGAAAATGGCGGTAGAAGTATCAGAGTGCAGATAACGAGACACTTTATCTTGAATCTGTTTTCAGAAAAAATGCAGTTATTAGGAGTAAGTCAATTAATTTCTTATAATATAGCTCTAAATTAAACATCGTAAATAACAAAATAGAAATTAAACAATTGTATTGTAACAAATTTTTACGATAGAATAATCATTATCCCGGATAGTGACAGAAGGGTTCCATGGGAAATTAAATATTTAATTTACGATATTAAAATGCACATATTGAGTAATTTACATTAATTTTTACCTGGTTGTTTCATATTCTACAATATATTTATTAAATATAAATATTAAAATATTTTTCTTTTTTAAATAATTAAATACAATAATTTAAAATGATTAGAATTAAAGAATGATAATAACACTGTTAAAATTATTCATTTTCTTATTTCCTGTGTCTTTACCTCACTCTGGCATACGCTGTCCTGGGAATTATGAATTACTACCGAATGAAATTTATTTACTTGCACACATTGAAGTACATCCTTGTATACATCTCTCGAAGGTCGTTCATTTCGAACAAAACTCAACCACATATCACCTTTGATACCATTTGTGCTCACAAATGGAAGGAAAATGACTAAAATCCATTGTGCCATTATCACTTTCTGAAATCATAAGAGTAAAAACAGATTCGGTCAGCACATGATCAAGAGTGAAAACACTGAATTATCGTGAACGTTGTGTATACGGACGTCTGAAAACTTTTGTAAAATTACCTTATTAATTTAGCATATTGGTTATATACAGATTGAATTTATTAAAAGATTATTATTAACAATTTATATCTAGCAAGAAATAAGAGGTTTATGGCAGTTTGGGTGTCTATTAAACGAGTGCAAACATTCCTGCAACAGAAATAATGAAACTTCTAAATAAAGTGTCCAGGAAGGAAATGCCAAAACTTCAAAAATAAGCTCTTAATACAATTTTAAGCATATTTTGACTAATAAACTCCTTGGATAATCCGATTCAGTGCTTATTGTGGCTCAACCAAACGTTGGTTTGAAATATACTTTATATGCAAAACTTTGCCTTGCAGAAACACATAAACACTCCAGAAACATGTAAATTGTTTATTATTTACAAAAGAAATGAATTATTTGTTCAGAAATAAAAATTATCACATAAATAGAAAAGCAGTAGAATTGTGTAAATTGTGTGCTTTTACACACATTATTTCGGCTCGTTGAAGTATTACGTTGCAACAGTGAAATAGTCTCGCAATCTGTTGGGGAGTGAGTCAGTTTGAAGCCTTTCGTTCTTTCGGTTTGATACTCCACTCCATCTTTGATTGCTTCAAGCGTGACACTACAACGGCGACATCTCTGCACGTGACATGCGTGTTACATGAATTATTTTTCTTCCTTCACGGTAGAAATGTAAGGTTTGCAGGTAACTTGATTGCAAATGTGAGTACGATGTTAGTGTCACTTGTTTTCATTGCACGCTGTTACAAGCCATTGTAGCAAGCAAGTCACCACTAATCGAAATCAAAGAAATTATTTTTAAATGAGCTGATAAATACATTATTCTTCTACCCGAGAGCCTTTTCGCCATATCTGATTCGTAAATATCAAATACGGATGCCATCGCTGAACAGTCAAATTTCTTCACTAAAAATTTCACATTTGTAAGCTATGTAACTGTAAGTTCCGGTTGTAAGCAGTTTGTAAACATTTGTAAGTTCGTGTTTCTGTTCTAAGGATTATATGTATTATGTCTAAATGAGTTCTATCAAACACGATTTAACGTGACTTGACTAAAGTGCTATCGAACCCCACGCACAAGTCTACATTTTGCTGCCAATGGATCAAGCGAGGTGTGCTAATGGCATATCGGGAAGTGGCACGTGGCACATGCGTGAATGACTAATTTTCTATTCACAATACAAAAATATTATTCTCGTGAAGCGTAGTTGCAAACATTTAAGCGATGTTAATTATGCATTCATCGTTAAACGATGTAGGAACCTTCCAACTCACCCAAACATTTTTTCCTCGAGTCTTTTGACCTTAAGTAGTATGTACCGTACGTCGAATGTGAGAAGCCATAATTGATGAATCTCTGTCTGCGAAACACGGCACTTATCAACATCATAACTTGAAAATAAGGTGTGGAGGTCGTACGGTTGTAAATATGTAAGTGATAATATTTTAAATTTTTCAGGGCCTGTTTTTTCACTAAACGACCTCTTGTACTTAATACGTGTTGCGGCAAAAATTCTGAATCATATATTATTCTGAATCATATATAATGTATTAAAGTTTGCGTACTTTTAATATAAATGAACTCGGAAGTCTTCTTGTCATCATTAGGTATATTATTTTCTGTGGGAGTTGCAATTCCTGCTACTTTCATGTTTCAGGTCCTTATGTTCCGCTAACTCCTGTATTCACAAATATGTTCGTCTAGTTTTATAAAAACACTTGCAATTGATCTAATACTTTATCTTCTCATCCTAAGAATATTCTAATAAAAATGAAATAAACGTTAAAATGCTAAGTTGTGTATAGCTGTATATCACAAGATCTTGTATTCTTATATGTAAAACGAAATAATTTGCGTTATATTATTGTTCTTCAAATCTAGAACACATTCATAAATATTTAATTAAATTCCATCTTACCCTAGGAGAAACATTTCACTCAGAATATCAACCGCTAAAAACATGTTTGAGGTTCACTCTATACACCTTCTCAACATCAACTGAGCAATAAGTAAGTAGCTTTATTACGTTATTAATGAAAACAGTTTGCCCTCAATTTTAATAGAAAACTGTTACATCATTCTAAATCGACATGGTGAGAATGTGCACTATACATAATGCAAATTCAATGTTCCCAGATGAAGATAGTATTCATTTACAAAATCCATCGAATGAATGGATTCGTACTACAACCAACAAATTGCCGGTATTTAGAACACGAAAATATTGATTAACCACAATCACAATTTTTCAATCTGTTATGTAAGTACTATACTCTGTACTGTAGGAGATTGGGCAGATACCTCAGATATTTTTCTTTTTTTTTCCTGCTCAACGACATACCTACCACTGCTTTACTAATTTTGGCTAGTCCAAAAAATAGCAGAATACACAACCGACAATGTATTTTTCATTTAATGTATTTCAATGTTAAAATATTTGATTCGATTCAAGTGCTTAGTGTTTCGTACACGTCAACTTCCACGCTCATTAGCCACGTAAGGGTAGTGCATGTTATATCGTGCTATTTGTGTGCGAGGTGCCCTCCCTCCCGATGGAACCTGAGATTCAGATTCAACCGTCAGATTGAAGGGACTCCTCCCTCCGTTTGAATATCGTCCCCCGTCGAATAACACTGATGTGTGTGTGTGTGTGTGTGTGTGTAAGGAAAGATCACGGGCTGTCAGTAGGTCACTTGTTAGGGTAATTATTTTACGAGTCAAGGCTCAGGCCATCAGCTCCGCTCTTCAGCACCATCTAGCGAAGAAGGAAGGTATTACTCGGGCAACGAAACAAGTGATTTTGAATTTAGCCCAGACGCTTCTTTTAGGCTTGAGGATCTCTTACATCTACAACATGGGATAGCCGGCTTTACTTCCCTTACCCGAAGGAGGGCGTACGATCGATTTTTCGCCAATAAAATTTCGGTGTCGATAGGATTTGAACCCGAAAATTTGGGTAAAACAGTCCTATTCGATAGCCGCTATACCACTGAACTTGTTACCTGGGCTATTGTTCCAGGGTTCGGAAACTATCTGAACATTATATCCTGCTGCTCGAGCATTCCGAGCAGCTGGCCCTTAGAACTCTGCACCAAACATTGGTTGATACTATGTAACCTATGTAAATAGTTTCGAAAATCTGCCGTGGTCAGGACTCGAACTGTAGGACTTCCCGCCAAAACGTCGCTACAGACGTGTTATTTACTGTATGGTCCACTGACACTTAGGTATCGTGTATAAACCTAGGGATCGTGCACACTTTATCCATTCAATAAATCAGTAATTAATTGACTTTTGATTTATGCTTTCTGTAATTGCTCCTCAAGGGTGTTGCCCTGGCTGTGACTACATCATGACTACCTGCCCAAGCGCTGGGCTCTATATTGACCTACTTTTGCCACGAACATTTCCTCTTGTCAACAACGACCAGTGTCTTCTCTTCGGGCAAATAATCGTTTCTGATAGTCCCCATCGCCGCTACCAGCCAATATCGTCGCCGCTGCCGCCTATACACTTCGGCCTCTCAATTCCTCGTTGAAACTGGAGGACAACCAACGAGCTAGAATGTACTACATAAAGTGGCTGTCCCTATAGTGTCAGCGCTTTTGGTTGAGGCTCGCCGAATTAGCGGCCGCCATGTTTTTTGAGGTCAAAACATACGAGTGGCCGTGAAGCCGTCCGAAACCAGCACAAAACATAATGCTGTCCTGCAATTTTCGCAATTCTGCCTCCGGCAGGTATCAGCTGTTGACGGTTTCATCCAATCGGGCTTAAACGTCACCATAGTGAAATCACTTTTGTAACGTTCAAGCTCCTGATTGGATGAAATCGTAAACAATTGAGACTTGCCAGGGGCAGTGTTGCATAAATCGCAGTACAAAATACTTTGTTCCCCAAAGGACACTGCTTTGACTGCAAAAAACATGGCTTCAATTTTCTTCAAAGATGGAGCCGCTTCAGCCACTCTATGTAGTATATACTAGCTCGTTAGAGACAACCCTAGGGTGTAAGGATGGGTGCTGATGTCACCGGGTACTGCTGAGTTTAGCTGATGATGAGGCTCGCCAACTTGACAGTACAAAATTTTGAGAACGTAATGAAAAATAAAATGTACGTGAGCATCAAGAATATTCAAAATTTGCAGAAAAAATATGAGACTATATGCAAAGCAAATTTTTGCAATCCTATCATAACGTTGGCAGCGGTGTGATTTTTAATTCTAGAAGGTGCTAGGAAAGATCGCACCACTGAAATTGTCTCCACTAGTTTACATGGAAGATGAAGGGCCCTGTTGCAGACCAGCTGCAAGTTCTTTGCACGAGTTGGTTCCTACAGGGAGATGAGGCTGAGGATATCATCCGATGTCACTGCAGGGCTTCTGACTGGGATGACCTAGAATCTAGTCCTCAGGGCGGCAGGATATTCGACTCTAGCTAGATATGTCGAATTCAGACGCTTCCTGGAGGAGAATTCTAGCGGCCGGCTGCTATGGGCAGTATCCTAACAAACGGACCACTAACCGTGCGCGGATCTTTTATTCATCTTACTTCTTCTATCCCTTACTTACACACACACACACATAATGGCTCATATATATATATATATATATATATATATATATATATAATATATATATATATATATTATACACATTACGCTCAACATCTGTTGGGAGACGAAAACCCAAATAAGGGGGGGGGGGGGCCCCCTTTCCCAAGAAAGTTTAAGTTTTTTTTTTTTAAAAAAAAAATTTAGGAAACCTCGCTTTATCTGAATCGCGTACAGTTTTCACAGAACGGAGTTTTAGGTACTATTATCTGACAACAAGAGCTGCTTGATGGTAGATTGTGAATCAATTCATTAGCTGACTCCCCAATTCTTTGTTCACTAATTTAGC